GACAAGTCCCCACGTGGCCAACGCGCTGCTCGACGCGGAGAGCCCGCTCAGTCGAGGGGGATTCCTCCCACCGACTCCAGCGGTGTTGCGGGGTCCGAGGGTGAGAGGCGGAGCAACCCGCAGGCAGCAATGATTCCCAGGGGAAGGTCGCGGGACGGGGAGGAGGGATCTGCGATGAATCTTCCGTAGGAGTTGGTGGTGGGAGAGGCTCTGGCGCAGGAGGAGGGAGAGGTGTCAGCAGGGACTGGCGCGGGGCCTCGTGCCGCGGTCCCTTGCAGCGGCCCGGGCGCGCCCTCCGCCGCTGATCCGGTGGTGCACCAGCAGGCAGAGGATCAGCTACAAGAGGCGGATTAGGAACCCGAGGAAGAGACAGTTGAACCGGCATCTGAGGAGGCGGTCGAGCCGACACGGGCGATGCCCGGGGTGACTGAGTGGACGACGAGGCCGGCGGCGCCGGCGGAGCAACACGGAGATTGCGACGGGAGGGACGAGACTGACGCTGCATGCGCCGAAATGCCTGCTGCTGCCAAGGACGAAGGACAGACGGAGCGCGTCCGGGAGGAGGATGGTACAGTGGTCCCTGAGACCCGCGTCGCCTCTCCCGCCGCCCGCGGGAAGACTGCGAGGCTCCGCGCCCGACCAGCACCGCTGCGGCTTGGATCATCGCTGATGCCCGGTTGCCCGGGACCACTCCTGGGCTGGCTCCAGCAAGCGTCGCTGCCACAAGGGCCAGTGTCCCCGTCGCCATTCGCTCCTGGTCCTACGAGGAGCAACGGGCTCCGGAGCAGCCTGCCGCGAACTGCTCTGGCTCGGTGCTGCCCTCCCCTGACGTACGGCGCGCGACACCTCCCGCGACACCTCGCGCTGGAGGTCCGCCAGCGTCACTGGCGGCCGATACCACCCGCCTCCACCGCGCCCCGGGGGGCCCCGCCATCCCCCACTGCCACCTGGATGCGTTGGCCACTGGGCCTGCTGCTGGTAGCGCCGGGGGGAGTTCCGCCGGCGCCGAGACGTCTCGCGCTCCTGCTGGGGCGCTGGAGAATGGGGCTGGGACAAGCGGCGGTCAGGCGACGGGGGACGAGATGGCGGAACAACCGGAGCCGCCGGCGGTGGAACGGGAGGAGACTGATCCGCGCTCGGAAGAGCAACCACCGAGGGCGGGCCGCCAGTGGTGGCGGACACCGCAAGCGACGAAGAATCAGACGCCAGCGCCGGCACGCCGGGGACAGCACCGGCAGGTGCAACTGGAACGCCAGGCACAGGGACAGGATGAGCGGCGACCTCTCCGGCAGGAGCAGATGCCGCCAGCGGCACGGCAGGAACAGGGAGAGCAGGCGAAGCGGGCGCGACAGGCGGAGCGGGAGGAGCAACCATCGGCGCAGACGGCTCAACCCCGTTCACGACAAGAGGACGTGCGGATTCGAGGGGAGGAGTCTTTTCAGCGGCTACTAGGCCGGGCGGCGGAACAGACAGCGGCGGGGAGCCCGTCGCCTCGGTCCTCGCTCCTGAGGCAGACGACGGCCTTTCGAGTACAACCGACGCAGCGCCAGCGCGCATTGGCGAATAATCGGTCACACCAGCAATCACCATCGCGAGGACTGGGAGCACGAGGCGATGGGCGAGCAGCAGTTAGCGGTCGAGGAGGGGGGCCAGAGAATGGCTATCAGAGGGAGGCCAGAAGGGCTTTAACTAGGCTACTTAATGACGAAGAAGAAAATGACCCCTCTTATAGAGAAGAGCCAACCCCATTGAGTGAGGACGAAGGGACAGAAGCAGAGGAAGGGGTAGAGGAGAATTGGAGAAGGACGGGAGCGAGACCAAGGCGGTCCTTAGGAGAGGGAAGGACCACCACGGCTGGACCGTTCGATGGCAATCGTACGGGCGAAATTCCAACCGCACCATCACAAGGGAGGCCGGGCCGCACCGGGAGAAATCGGGCCGCGATGGCAGCGGCATCGGTGCGAGACAATCCCAATCCCCCGCGCTATTTTACGCCAGAGGAGTTGGCGACGCGAGCAGATCTGTTCGCTGGCGTCGAGAACTGGGATATCCCAGCCCTCTGCGATAGTCGACAACCATCCCTGGCAAGGCGGTTACCGCCCAATTTGTGCCAGTTGTTTTCGCTGGCGCTGCTAACCCCGTTACTCAACCTGTCACGAAACCCGGAAGGAGAGGCAGGTTGGCGCCTACTCCTATTTCTGCCACGTCTGACGCTTCGCCAGACCTCGCCACGGAAACCAAACTGGCCCCAGATCAAGGCCCGGCTCCGAGCCTTCCAACGTGGCGAGTGGGGTCAACTGTACCAGGATGCGATCGAAGCAGTCAACACTCCCACGCCTCCACGTCACCAGCCCGACGCAACCGGGGTCATCAGCCGGACCGAGGGCCTGGCAAAACGGGGTAGCCTGCGACGCGCTGTGCTGGCGTTGGAGTCAACGCCAGTTTGCACCCCAACTCCGGAAATTCTGGTGGAGCTTCGACAGAAACACCCGCCAGCCGAATCAGGGGAGACGACGTGGCCACCCTCGCCTGAGTCAAAATTGTCCATCACCCAGGCTGACTTTGCCAAACTGTTGGGGAGGTGTGAAAATGGGATCGGTGCCGGGCCTTCGGGAACGACATTCGAACACATGCGCGACGCGGCAATCACGAATGGACGAGTTAGCACCCATCTGCACGCCTTGGTTAACACCATTTTGGGGGGCAACCTTCCAGCACCGGTGTCGGACCTACTGACAGCTTCACGGCTCATTGCCCTGGCCAAACCTGGTGGGGGGGCTCGACCTATCGCCATTGGCGAATGTATCACGCGGCTGACTGCCAAAGCAGCCCTCGCAGCCATGGGAGAGGCCGCGCGGGCCTTTTTCCTGCCTCTACAGTATGGCGTAGCCGTGCCTGGAGGAGCCGAGGCAGTCATCCACGTGGCACGGGCGTATCTGGACAAGCTTCCCAACAGCCTCGTGCTGCAAACCGACATCTCAAATGCATTCAACAGCATTTCACGGCAAGCTATCGCGACAGCGTTACAAGGACCGGAGTTGTCGCCACTACTGCCGCTGGTGAAACTGACATACGGTAACCCGTCGAAATTATTCGTCGACGCGAATTTCGGATCGGACCCACTGATCAGCGAACGGGGCGTGCGCCAAGGGGACCCACTTGGCCCACTACTGTTTGCGGCGGGAATGCACACTGCACTCCGCGACACTGCTGCAGCACACCCCCAGGTGCTGTGTCTGGCATACGCTCACGACGTCACATTCCTGGGGGAGGCGACGGCTACTGTAGCAGCCTTCAACCATTTCACCGAGAAGCTGGCACACCTGGGATTACGACATAATGCGCAGAAATGCGCAGCCTGGAGCAGAGAAGCAGCAGTAAAGGATCGGTTGCCGCACGGCGTACCATTCTCCCAGGAAGGTGTTCGCTTGCTCGGAAGCTTCGTGGGGCCTGACAGGGGGGCGTCACAATTCCTGTCGGGTCAGCTGCAGGAGATGGCCAAACCTCTGCCACTGCTTGAGAAAGCCGACCCGCAGGTAGCCTCGTTATTGCTCACCCGCTGCATTTCGAGGCGCGTGGCATATCTTACCAGAACAACACCGCTTTCCCTTTTGCCACGAGAGACCTGGAGCCAGTGGGGGACAGACCTGCTAGCGGCACTACTCACAGCATGCCACCTTCGCGTCCCCACCTGCCGTACCAAGCAAGCACGTGTATGGGTGCAGGCGTCTTTGCCGCCGTCTTTGGGAGGGATAGGCATCACTGACCCGCTGGTCGAGGGTGTTTTCGGGTTCGCCGCGAGCTTCACGCAGGCGGCGCTTTTCATCGCATCACTAGACGGCGCCCGTGAGGGCGCGCTGGCGCAGGCGCGGGACCACATGCAGTTGCCCGCTGACACCACCACGCCCCTTCACACGTGGCTGTCGGAGTGTGAAGCAGCGTTACCCGACGATGCGCGAGAAGTCCTGGAGAAAGAACGGCTGGAGCAAACTGATTTGAGGCTCCAGCACGCATTGGCGCTAAGGGTGCATGGGAGTAGATATGCGGCGCAGGTGCAGGCGACGAGGGAGATGGCGGTGAACCCCTTGTGCGGACATACGCAGCGGATGTACTCAATGACGGGGTACGGGACTGGGGATTGGCTGACCGCTATCCCGATTGCGGCCAACAGGAGGATAGGGCCCACTCACTTTTCCAATGCCGTACGTTTCCGGCTGGCCCTCCCCTTCTCCACGCCGAAGAATTGCGACTGTGCGGATCACACGGAGATCACGGACCCCCGCCTCCCGAACCACCTTCTCCGCTGCGGCACAGGCAAGCATCGCATCAACACCCACAACGAGCTGCGCGATGCCTGCATCAGCATGGCCCAGGACGCGGGTTTCATCGTTCACAGCGAGTCCTCAGCGCACTGCCCCGTTGAGGAACAGACGGCCGACTTTACAATGACAAACAGGAGCAGTGGGGCCGTCTATGTATGTGACGTCACCATCACCGACCCCATTAGCACAAGGGATCCGGAGGCACAGAAGGGCAGGGGCTGGGCGGCCCGGGAGCAAGCGGACAAGAAAATCCAGCACTACGCCTCCCTACCAGAGACGGTGACCTTCTTCCCCCTGGCTGTGGACACCTATGGCTGCCCGTGTGCGGAGGTACCAGCCTTTTTGAAGCTCTTAGCGGACACTGCAGCTCGGCGGCACTTCAACGCCGACTCTAAATCGTTCTATGCTGCAAAGTTCCTGCACCAGTTCAGGCAACGCTGGTCTGTGGCCCTGCAAAGGGCCCAATCTGTAGGCCTCCTACTCAAGCTTGGGGAGGCGGCGGCGGTTGAGAACCCGCCGGTGGGAGGAATTGGGGATGAGTTGCATCTAGGGGACTCCTTTGTAGTGATTGAGGAATGGAGGAGCAAGTGCAAGGGATGAATGTGACATGCACTGAGAGTCAGCATTCAGAACGATAATTTCATGGGGAGCAAACAGCTAGAACATCCACCGAATACCATGCAGGGCACGGCATGGGATGGCCCGTGGGGTACCATGCAGGGCACGGCATGGGATGGCCCGTGGGGTACCATGCAGGGCACGGCATGGGATGGCCCGTGGGGTACCATGCAGGGCACGTCATGGGATGGCCTGTGGGGTACCATGCAGGGCACGGCATGGGATGGCCCGTGGGGTACCATGCAGGGCACGGCATGGGATGGCCCGTGGGGTACCATGCAGGGCACGGCATGGGATGGCCCGTGTGGTACCATGCAGGGCACGGCATGGGATGGCCCGTGGGGTACCATGCAGGGCACGGCATGGTATGGCCCGTGGGGTACCATGCAGGGCACGGCATGGGATGGCCCGTGGGGTACCATGCAGGGCACGGCATGGGATGGCCCGTGGGGTACAATGCAGGGCACGGCATGGGATGGCCCGTGGGGTACCATGCAAGGCACGGCATGGGATGGCCCGTGGGGTACCATGCAGGGCACGGCATGGGATGGCCCGTGGGGTACCATACAGGGCACGGCATTGTATTCCGCAAAAACGGCGAAAGGGCAACAGGCTGTGCAGAAATGGAAAAGGAAGTTGAAGGAGGGATAGTATCGCGGTGGACACTTAGTAGGTGTGATTTAGCGCAAGAACAACCATTGGCAGGACGGATGCTGACCTACTAGTAGGTGAGTAGTCAGCGATACAGGTGGATTAAGGAAACGGAAGGGCATGGAGAAAGTGCTGTTGGCGTTCATTTATAATGGGCTTAGCGTTGTGATTTGGCAACGCATCAACGCGAACTCGAAGCAGCCATGCGTCCGCAGCATCTGCCTCTTCAAGCGTGGTTGCGTTCGAATCTGAATAACATCCCTTCGCATCCCCTGTTCTCTGTTCCCTGTTGCTGGTGCCTCGCAGATATCGACCGCATCGCATCAAGTAGTAACGTCAATGGACGCAGACGGTTGGCACGAAATGAGTGTGCTTGGGTATAGTCGGACAAACCTAGATGTGACATAGGGACAGGACAAACGAGGTCACTAATTTGATAATGTTGGACAGGTCGACGGAGCCTCGAAACAGACGTGGACGCCTGAAGTCACCATTCAGTTGATTTTACATAGGGGATGATTAGTTACACTTTGAGTTGATTCTACATGTTATAAGTGAACTTAGTGAGTGAGCCATGTAAACGAATATCGAGAATGTGACTCACTGACTGCCGATAGAATGAAAGTAGCGAGACTTAGGGTGCATTCCTGTGTCGACACAAATGTCTCAATTCCCTATTTCCTGAGTCGCGTCTACACATTTTGACAACTTCGCGTCTCAAACTTGGACGTATCGCTACACTAGGCGACCAGGCGAAATGTACAGCTGTGCGCATTTGATTGGGTTTCTCAAATGATTGTACACTTGTTTCTTCAACCGCTTGGATGGGGTGTGGTTTCGACTGGCGGGATTTTCTTCCGCGCGAAATTGACATTGTGTGGTGTTGGATTACAAAGGGAATAATACTTAGCATTCCCGTAGGTGCAACACTATCGCACCAATCTCTATCGAAGTAGCGCTAGCAGCAGTGTCGGAACAGCCCATATCAAAGGCAGGAAGGTCAACAGTCGCAAGAGTCGACTGTCGCGACTGTTGACCATCTGGACCGACGTTTGACCTACCATCGAGGAATGGCAACAGTGTTAGAATCTAGCAGCAAGAATGAATGAACTATAAAAGGATTGGGTACAAATATGAAACCCTAATGTGGGTTGTACCCCATATTGGCTGCCCCACTACAGCCTAAACATATACAGCATATTACGATATGAAGTTTTATGAGTAAGGCATTCCTGTATGCTGCAGGAGCCGACTCTACCGAGTACGAAGTCGAGGAGTCAGAAGAGTCAAAGCAATGCAGCAAACTGCCTGACCAAGACCGATGCAGGCAGAAACATTTGAAATGAAAAGAGCGGGAACAGGTTCAAAACGGGTTCCCGCGCCGCACGGTTTAAATTTGCTGTAATAAGGGAATGTACCCCTTAGAGTACATGGATAGTCTAGGTCTTTTTGCATTCCCCTGTATTCTTATATAATCTCGATGTATGCATGCTATTATCAACTCATTCATTTACATTCACTCTGACCTGAGATTCATATCTTCCGCTGCAACACTACTCTGCGATCAACCCTGAGCGATCCTTCGCTAAGTCCCACTTGGGATTGTAACATGGTATGAGAGATACTCAGGGATTCTTCGTAAACTTCACTTCCGTAAAATTCGTCGAACCAAGATCTGGCGAGCGGCACACGCTCCAAGTCCAAGATGGCCGGAGGATCCGGAGGCCAGACAAATCCGACGGCTGAAGGACAAACCAACCCGGCTGCGACAAATGAGGCGACAACCACGATCGGCATTGCCGCCCTCGAGCAACTTTTTGTTCGACTTTCAACCATGGAGAAAGAACTCCAAGAACTGCGCAAAGGCGATGCGGGAACCTCTTCCCAACCAATACAACCTGGACAACCGGCTGAGAAAAGCCGTGATACCGCCGCGCACACCTTCTCCCTCGACACAGACAAATCAACAACAACTGCCCCCCGTCCAAGTGATGAAGCTATCAACTCTGCGCAAACACGCTTCATTAGCGTCTCAAAAATCAAGACTACTGCCGCATTCGACGGTAAGGACTTTTACACATGGAGTTTCGAGCTTGAGCTCCTCCAATAAACGGGACTATGCGTCCTTCCACTGCCCCACAGCGTGTCCCTCTACCGTCTCCTCCTGCGTCCTCTCTTCCTGCCCTCGCTGACCCGGTGTCTGACTCCCTTCGTGCTGCTAGTCCTACTGTCACGTGTCTCCTGTCCACTGTTGTCACTCACCCCTCCTTTGAGTCAGCTGCTGCGTCAGCCTTAGTTGCTGAGCTTGTCGAATTTGCTGCTCACTGTCGTCTAGCTATGCTGCCAATCTTGTTGCTGAGTCTGAGTCTGAGTCTGTCTGTCCTCCGTCCGTCGGGGGTGAGTGTGCTCTTGGCACGGACGTCCTTGAGGACAGACAGGAGGAGTTTGAGTGCTTTGCTGCTGCTGTACCTCATCTTATGGCCATGCTGCTTGCCCCTGAGGGAGACTCGGATGCTCCAGACATCCCGACCCCGCGCTCTTACGCTGAGGCGATCGTGGATGAGTACTCCTCAGTGGCAGACAGCCATGGACGCAGAGATGGCATCCTCGAAGTCCACTGGCACTTACGTCGACGAGGTTCCCCCTCCTGGGGCGAACATCGTCAGTGGCATGTGGATTTTCAGGGTGAAGCGGCCGCCAGGTTCTCCGCCTGTCTTCAAGGCTCGTTACGTTGCTCGAGGCTTCAGTCAGCGAGAGAAAGTAGACTTCTTCCAGACCTTCTCCCCTACCCCGAAGATGACCACTCTTCGGGTGCTGCTGCACGTTGCCGCTCAGCGTGACTACGAGCTTCACTCTCTTGACTTCAGCACAGCTTTCTTGCAGGGCAGCCTGCACGAGGAGATCTGGCTGCGCCGCCCTCCTGGTTTCACTGGGTCGTTTCCTCCTGGTACCCAGTGGAGCCTCCGGCGGCCAGTCTACGGTCTCCGTCACGCGCCACGCGAGTGGCACGATACACTGAGGACTACACTTGCGGCTCTTGGTTTCGCGCCTTCTACTGCTGACCCGTCGCTGTTTCTGCGCACCGACACTTCACTACCGCCGTTCTACATCCTCGTATACGTCGACGACTTGGTCTTTAGCACTGCTGACACTGAGGCTCTCGCCCACGTGAAGTCGGAGCTGCAGAAGAGACACACGTGCACAGACCTGGGTGAACTGCGCAGCTACCTTGGCTTGCCGATCACCCGGGACAGAGCACGCCGCACCATCACCCTGACTCAGTCACACATGGTGCAGCAGGTCCTTCAGCGCTTCGGCTTCACCTGGTCCTCGGCACAGGCCACTCCTCTGGCTACAGGTCACTCGCTCTCAGCTCCACCTTCGGACGAGTCCGTAGAGCCGAGCGGTCTTTACCTAGAGCTAGTTGGCTGCCTCATGTACCTGATGACTTGCACTCGTCCTGACCTCGCGTACCCTCTTGGTCTTCTGGCTCGCTACGTGGCTCCTGGTCGGCACCGACCTGAGCACATGGCTGCTGCTAAGAGGGCACTGTGCTGCTTGTGCAGTACATCAGGCATGGCGCTAGTGCTTGGAGGGAAGAGCCCAGATGTTCTCACTGGGCACTCAGATGCTTCTTGGGTTGACGACCAGGCTACTCAGCGGTCGTCATAGGGTTACACCTTCAGCCTTGGCTCTAGCTCAGTTTCTTGGCGTTCTACTCGCTTATCTTCAGTTCTCAGCTCCAGTTGTGAGGCTGAGATCTACGCCACAGCCATGGCTGCAGAGGAGTTACGCTGGCTCACCTACCTGCTGACTGACTTGGGAGAGCGGCCGCGTTCTCCTCTTGTGCTGTACGTCGACAACAAGGCTACCATTGCCTTGTGTGAGGAGCACAGACTCGAGCACACAACGAAGCACATCGCTCTGCGTTACTTCCTGGCTCGAGAGTTGCAGCAGCGTGGTCAGCTTCGTCTGCATTACGTGGCCACTCGGGCCAACACTGCTGATATATTCACCAAGGCACCTCTGTCTGGTGATCATGCTAGGGCTTGTGCCCACTTTTCCTCACTTGCTGTAGGCCTTGCTCGTACTGTGATCTCTATATATATATATTCCTGCATGCTTGCATTGCTAGGTAGAGATCACTGTGGTGTTTGTGTTGCATATATGCCTCTGAATGTGAGCTGGCCCTCTGGTCCCTTTGCTTGTGCTCAGTGTGTGTGGTGAATTTTTTATCCACCCTGAGCTTGCGTTGTCTTTCTTGACTGGTCTTGTGACCCCTTGCTCTCCCCACTTAGCCTATGGGGGTGTGTCAAACATTATATGTTATTGTTCAGTAGGCTATAGTGGGTTTAGCCTTAGGTGGTACAACGTTCTAGGTTTTCCTACTTGTACTTTCATTCCTTCTAGTCCAACCACTTCTTGTTTCTGACACTCATCACCTTCTGCGTAAGGTCACCTGCCCTGCGTGCTCAACTCGACCTCTGGAACCGGCGCCTCAGCCACCCCTCTCAAGAAGTCCTCAACAATTGCATCCGCGCGCAAGTTTTTCCTCCTGGAACCCTTTTGCGCCGAGACGGCAGCCCAGTCCCAGTCGGCACCACTCGCCGCCGTGACTGCAACATCTGCCCTGAAGCTGCACTCACCTGTCGACCCTTTAAACTTCTTGAGCCTGGAACCAACCGCTACGAAAAGCTCGAAAAAGTCTACAGCGACTTCCTCGTGCTCACCAAAACCAGACTCAACGGCAAAGAATACACTCTTACCTTCGTCGACGCTCACTCCCGCTTCGTCTGGATCGCCAATGTCTCGCACAAGAGCAAGGCGTTTGACGTCTTCAAGGTCTGGCACGCAAACGCTGAAACTCAATCCAGTTGCACCCTTAAGACCTGGCAAATGGACTGCGCAGCTGAATTCAAGAGCGACAAGTTCGCGGCCTACGTCCAAGAGAAGGGCATTGTGCACAAGCTTTCCCTCCCCAACGCGCATCCCCAAAAAGGCGTCGTGGAGCGGACCAACCGCACCCTCATGACCAAGGTTCGCGCCCTACTGCAGCAGAGCAAGGTTGACGCGAAGTACTGGCCTTATGCCATGCATCATGCTGTCCGTCTGCACAACCTGCCCAGCAACACCTGTCAGAATCTTATCTTATGCTCTAGCCTGTAGTGGGGTGCTCTATAGCGAGTACAACCCTCCTAGGGTTTGCTATTTGTATTCCCATTCTTGCTAGTGCAACCCTCTTCTCTCTTCTAACTTTCACATGGTATCAGAGCAGGTCGATCCCCTTGGATCGATCCTGTGGGTGGGCTTACCACCTCGTTGCTTCCGCTG